GAATGCCGGCTTACACGCCCTGGGTGCTTTGCTTGGTAAGCAGCAATAAAAGCTAGGATTAAGTCACAGATGATGTGTCGGATTTTGTATCCTTATTGTCTGAACCCAAATTTTGCTGCAAACCGTTCACTAAAAATGCATTAGATCAAAAAAACTAGCTAACACATAATTTACGGTGGGCTTTCTGGAATATCCATCGCAGATCGTTTTGTTACGGAACAAATACTAATATAACTGCTTTAATCTCATCATTTTGGCTCCAGACTGAATCCTAATGGGATCATCCTGGTAATGGTGTATTGCTGTTCTGACAACGTACCGCCCTAAACAGTCTTCCTCTTGTTATCTGTTAAGTTTTGTGAAGTAACAGACCAAAGATGAACAACTAATAAAATCTTACACTGATCTTTTTTCATTTTGTGTGATGATAAACTGACAGTAGAATGCTAAATATTTTTTTTTTTTTTACTTTCCCTTAATAGTATTTATTCTTAATTCCTGATTTAACTGAGAGAAATAACTGCCTCAGTAGCATCACTGGCCAGTGCATTCATGCTTTTATTTTCAGTCTTTCGTAATTAAATCCTTATCCCAATTAATAACGTCCATAATTCTTACCTACTTTTGAATGGAATATTTCAATGAAGTGGGAGGAAAGGAGCATAGTTCCATGTGAGTCTTGCAGTGAATACACAGTATCTGTCTAGTATCGCGTACATACATTCTTCAAGCTTGCTTGGAGGATGTTAACCTGTTGAAAAGGCTTATGCATTGATTTTTGTCCTCTGATTGCTTTTTGTTTCACAGAGACATGCTTCCAGAGCAGGAGGGCCTTGTACCGGAGTCAGCGATGCTGATAAGGTTCTACTGATTTTTTCCATAGTTAAATTTGGCTCTAACTCTTCCAACCCATCTTCATTCTTTCTTTCCTTCCTTTTTCAGTTAACCATCACAACCATCTTTTGTCTTCTACATGACATGAACCAGCCATCAGCTAATTTTGTTTCCGTCATTTTAATTTATTCATATACTCTACTTTTGTTTTTCCTCATCCGTGTTTTTTGTGCAGAGTTCACATGAGACTCTGGACATAGTGGAGGAGAAGAAGCAGGCAGAGGTTGGGATAGAAGAAACACTAGTCGTAGACGAAAGCAACAAAGGGAAAATGCAAGTTGCCGCTGATGCTGGGGAAGCATGTAAGGTGGAGCATCTGTCAAAAAAGGACTCTTCATCACTGCCATCAGATAGTAGCAGCAGCAGCAGCAGTAGTAGTGAGAGTGAGGATGAAGAGGTGGGAGAATACCAGCCACATCATAGGGCAATTGAGGAAGTCATCAGGGAAGAACAGGAAGAAGAGGAAGACGTGAAAAGGAAAGAACATGAAGAAAAAATACAGCATGTGGAAGCCACACCAGAAGGCAGTAAACTACATGTACCAGTTGAGCACACGCAAGTTACAGCTGAAGATTTGGTCCAGGAAAATGCAGTTACCATAGCTACAGAAGAGCAGAATTTGTCACAGGAAATTAAGCAAGATTTAGGTGAAGAAAGAGAGGAAGAAGAGCTCAAACTCAATGGAGATGTGTCTCATGTTGACATTGATGTTGCACCACAAATAATTTGTTGTTCTGAGGTAAATGGTAGAACAGTTTGACAACTAGATTAAGCAGAGATATTTCTTGGGGTGAAAATATACCTGCCTTTCTTCTTCTCCTATTCCTCCAGCTCTTCAGGCATCCAACAAGATTCAGATCATTTGGAAGGGGAAACCATTGATGAGCAGTGAAATTCTGTCTCCTTCAGTTATGGTTTCTGACTTTTTGCTAGAACTGAGTGAGAATCACCAGTAAGGCAAACCTTCCGAAGACTGCCATCTTCTTTTTATCTCCCCCTTGTTTTATATGCACATACATAATGTATATTTATTATTTACGTTTCCAATGTTTTAAGTCTTGTCTTGTCTATTTGTCAATTGTTTTTGACACGTCCATGACATGTAATTGTGATTGGAAAACTATTGGCAAGTGAAAGTAGAAAACACCCGTCACAAATTTTTGTTCCTTTTTTTTCCCTCATTAGCTTTTTTACCTTTTTTTTTCCTTTCAGAAAATGTTGTGAATTTATAGACTAGATTAAGTATGGCTAGAAATTGCATAGGTGAGAGCGCTGCATTGTAAAGGTATGAGACATATATCGCAATCTTACAATGAAGTCCTCTAGTGCAGTAGATATTTAAGGAAGCACGCATGCGTTCCAGTCACAGTCGGTTGTTTTAAGCCAAACAAGGTTGAAGTGTTCATTACTGGGCAAACTTTATAAAGAAGCAGAAAGGGAAAAAATGAAGCACAGGGATGCATCTCTTTGTAAAGTTGGCATGTTCTTCTGCTGAGTTTTTCAACAGTTGAGTGGGTTTTTTCCTGTTTGTCTGCCTGCTTGTTCTTGTAATGGTGGCAAGTTTTTTTTTTCTTTGCGCTTAAATCCAAACAACTTACCTTCTTTCTTTTGTTGTCTTTTGCATACACAGGTGTTCTGGTTAATGATGTGAAAGAATTAGTTTATAAGACCTTTAGAAATTGCAGGCACCCACACTTCCTAAAAACAGCTAGTTTTGGAGCGAGAAGGGCTGCTGTGTGTGCAAGTGTGCGTGAGGGAAAGAAAGGATTTCTTTTTTTTTTTTTTTCCTGGGATTCTCCCAATGTGCATCAAAAATCAATGGGAGACAGCAACTGATGCATCTAGAAAAATATCAAAAGGCTTTGCTAGATTTTTTTTTTAAGTTCTTAAACATATTGAAAATCTGCTCCAATAAGTCACAAGTTCACTGGCTTACAGACCCCAATTGCTTTCTTTGTGATATTGCAGAGAACACCACTAGCTAACTCTAAATGGTTAAAATGGCTTTTTAGGATTGTTGTCAAAAGAAGCCATTGATTTCCAGAATTATTACATTAGAAGTAGGCTGCTTACAATCCAATGGTCAAAGTTGTTTTTTTCTGTTCCAGAAGCAGTACATATTAAAAAGTTAAACTTTTACGTAATTTCCTTGGAATTTCTAGTGCTTATGTGCAGTTTGAGCAGGGATAGGTATTTTCCCAGATTGACTCTAATATGAAGCTTATCCATCTGAGCTAGCTATCAGCTTCTTTATGCAAACTAAGATATTTTTTTTTTCCCTAGTGATGTTCTTCTACACATTTTCAATACCTGTGTTACAGCTTGGTTTTAGCAGTAGCCTTCTGTGATACGTACTGTTGGCTAAAACACAGAACTTCGGCAAGGTTATTAAGAGACTAAATTTTCCTACCATGTTATGTAGATACTAGAGGGCTGGTGCATTAGTCTTCATTTCACTTTGCTTATTTATTGCATGCTTTTTGATTGGGAAGACAGTCAAATACTTATCTTACTGTTACGCTTTTCTTGAGTTTTTGGTTGTGTTTTTTTGGTCCACTTTACAAACCTTCTTCTGTCTTTTGAATTGATTGGTTATTTCTTGCACCACAGCCTCCAGTAGTGAAAACAGAGATGGTAACCATTTCAGATGCCACACAGAGAACTGAAATCTCCACTAAAGAAGTTCCAATTGTTCAAACAGAAACTAAAACTATCACATATGAATCTCCACAGGTATGGTGGCTGGGTTATTATATTGTTTGCAAGCTGGTTTTTATTCCAGTTACTTGTAGATCTAAATAGATAATGTCCAAAAAATGCTTTTCAAAAACCTATACATTTTTCTAGCAGCTAAGATTATACTTTGGCTATGAATTAGGAAGTGAAATGTGTGTAGACAAAGCAGCGTTACTCCTAAATTCTAAGTGTTTTGTTTTTTTTTTTTATGTAAGGACTTAGTTGCCATCTGCAAATGTACAACTCATTTTTAGTTTTGGAAACTTGATTAAAATATCTCATTGCTCCTGAAAGGAAAATGTAGCTTTGATTGTAAATTTTCCACAAGAATGAACCATAACAACAGTCTTACATGACTCAGTAAACTTGGATGGCTTCTGTTTAGATTTCAGTTCTAACTGAACTAAAGAATGTGTTTAGTAAGAAAACCATCCTTTTCTCCTGTGAAAACAAAGCTTTGAAATGCCAAATTACAAAAATACCATTTTTTTTCATTACAGTTTGATGGCAGTGCCAGTGGCAATGCTGGTGTGCTGCTGAGTGCACAGACAATTACATCAGAGTCAATTTCTACTACGACAACTACACACATCACAAAGGTAAAATATAATAAAGTGTCTCTCTGAACTGAAAAAAAACCCAAACCCTCAAAGTCTTACAGGTAGTTTCTCATATATCTGCTAATTTATTGAAACAAGCTGACTTGAAATTGATTGGATTCATTCCAGGCATGTGTGAGAGTTAATCTTTCTGTACACAGGTTTTGAACAGAGAAGCCCTAATGAATAAGCAGGAATATCTGGGAATAGGGCAGGGAAAGGGACAAAAATATGATATTTTTTTTTTATGTACTTCATATAGGTCTTATTTCTGTGTTTGACAAATGAGTATGTACCTAAATTTTTACAGTTTCAATCCTGTCATCACTCACTATCTTACAGAATCTTTGTTAATGTAACTAATTTGTCTGAGGTCCGCAGGAGCTCTGCTAATGGCATCTGTTATAAGGATGAACTGAAACATTGTTTTCTCAGCCTTAGCGTTGATGATCAGTGTGCTGCTAGGTTTAGAGCATATTTAAAAACAGACCATACCACTAGATTGCTTTGCAAGCATATTGTGGTGCTGAATTATGTGCTCTGCATTCCATGCTTGAAAAGGAAGGGAAAACTCAACTCAGAGACTGAGAAGAGGCCCATGGTAGGTGGGTTGAAATCAAAGAAAAGGCTCCTGGAATTTCCTTGTTGCCAGATTTATATGGTGGAAGAAGCTGGAATTCCAGTTTGTCTGCATATCTAGAGCTGTTCAAACTTAGGCTCCAGTAACAGAAGGAATTCTCTTTTAGTTGTTTTTTATCAAGTTTAGCAATTGCTAGAATGTGACTAACTGCATAACTGAAAAAGGAAAGGATGATTTAGCACCAAGAATATTTACTACTAATTGCAACAGAAATGTATTTGCTTCAGTGCCACAGAAAAGAGTGCTTTGTGGCAATATGAAGCAATTACAAGGATGTTTTCTTCTTTTTTTTGTGCCATCTGTAGATGGTAAAAGGTGGGGTATCAGAAACAAGAATCGAGAAGCGTATTGTCATTACTGGAGATGCAGATATTGACCATGATGAGGTGAGTATGTAAGCTGTTAACACTTACAGTGTGCTTTTTGTAGTCCAGTGAGATCTAGATGATATTTCAGAAACCTGAAATAAGAGAAAGGTAGAGAAGTTGAATAAGAGGACATAGAAAGACCATGACACTGTTAATTGTGGCAAAGTTGTTAAGGGAGCGTGTTTTGTGAATAAAGAGCCTTTAGAATATAACTGAAAGAAAAACAGCATTTGTAACGTTGCATCATAGATCATGTAAATGGATTTCTTACTATTTTTAAAAGGATTGCTTTTTTTTGGAAGAGACACAATTTTTTAGTGGTGCTTTTGCCATTTGGGAGGAAAAGCATTACTAAAATAATCTTATTTTGATGCATTAGTCTGGATAGATGGGAGTCTCTACTGCGTTGTGTCAGCAACATCTGAATGCAGGACTCATTGTGACTGAAAGCTTTGAAATGCATTAAAGCATAAACTGCTCAAATTTAAAAAATAGTTTTTGACTTGTATTTATAGAATTCTGTATAACAAAAGTAATTGTTGATCTGCTGGAATCCTATGTAAGTACCTTTCATCTCTGTCAGTACCAAAGCAGTATTTTACGATGTTTTAGAAACTAAGGTTCAAATCACTTCTACCAGCCCAATTAAGAAGGCTGAATTTAAGCAATACACAGAAAAATAATTGAGAAAGTGCAATTGTCTATTTTTTGTAGTGATGATTACACAGTTTTTATTGTTTTTCATCTAAGAAGCTGTAGTAACAAAGTTAATCAACAGTCACTGGATAATACAAATAGAAAAGCCTACCTTCTACATAAAGGTGCAGTGAATCCAATTCTAACTTTATGAAACTACACAAATCAACATAACAGGATTTAATTTAAAAAGCTCTTGGGGAATTTAATTTCACATTTTGATTTGCCTCCAGAAAGTGGCTCCTGACAAGTTGAATCTCTTCTTAAAACTCATAATTAAATGACAGGGCTGTTCAGTGTCAGGTATGGTTCATTTGCCTTGACCACACGTTCAGTGCACTTCAGACATCTGGAAAGGTCACACAATACCTTTAGTATACCAGACAATGCTTTAGTAAAACCATTCTATAAGCCCTTCTTTGTTTCGAGATTAGTGGGTAATGAAGTAAAAATGAAATTATAAAAAAGGAAGTACAAAATATGATTTTAATCCCTGAAGTTTAAAGCAGCAGTGAGCAGCTTTTAAGAGATTTAAGAAATCTCTACCACTTTTTCTTCAGCGGATATGGAGCTCTTCAGATACACAAACTACATGCTGGATGTTTATGCTTTTGTCTTTTAGCTCCCTACATCACTAAAACAGTTTTCAATAGGAAAATAATATTTTAATTTGGAGTTTCAGAATACAAATGCTTGTATTACTTGTTGTAATTTAACAATTAGAGACTTAAAATTTTTTCATTGTTTATGGTTTGATTATAAACAGATTCTTAAATCTCAGCAGCCACTTTCTTTTAAATCCTCATTTGTACTACAGAGATTACACTTGGCGCATTGCAAAGACAAACTAATAAAAATTGTGAGGATTAATACATCAGCAAACATCAGTATTGTACCAGTGCACACTGCATGTTCTTCTGTACGTATTTCTTTAAGAGGACTTCAAATTCATTATCATGTAATAGTTAAGGTGGCTGGTGTTGGTGTTTCCAGTCTCTCTTCAGAGTTAGTTATTTCTTCTCCCACTTACCACCCATGGCTTAGGAAAATGTCACTTTTCTAAATCAAGATAAACCTTTTTGTTGCATTATATTTTTCTTGCTCCTTTTAGTGTATTTGGTTTTTTTTTAGTTATGGTTGATACTAAGGTGAACAGTGAGCTTACTGTTGCCTTGGAATGCCTTCCAGTTTCCTCTTTTTTTCCTTATGTTGGGTTCCAACAGTAATACAGCTCACTAAAATAAGATTCAGATCAGGGGAAGGAATAGAAGGTCCCAGGTGCTCTTTCGCCTCTTCTGTCTCAGAGGATGCTCTTATGTGGGTAACTGTAAAGCCTTGTATAGAATAGAATAGAATAGAATAGAATAGAATAGAATAGAATAGAATAGAATAGAATAGAATAGAATAGAATAGAATAGAATAGAATAGAATAGAATAGAATAGAATAGAATAGAATAGAATAGAATAGAATAGAATAGAATAGAATAGAATAGAATAGAATAGAATAGAATAGAATAGAATAGAATAGAATAGAATAGAATAGAATAGAATAGAATAGAATAGAATAGAATAGAATAGAATAGAATAGAATAGAATAGAATAGAATAGAATAGAATAGAATAGAATATTTCAGTTGGAAGGGGCATACAATGATCATCTAGTCCAACTGCCAGCTGTGTGTGTTGGTACATCTCTTAAGAAGATAAAATTTCTTAAAATGTGGAGGAGGGATTATAAGAAACTTATATTTACACTTCCCTGAGTTAAACTAGAGAAAGTTCTCTTAAACCAGTAAAAGGAGAAAAGGAGGTTCTTGTGCTGAGAAAGAAATTTCTGTTATGATCTTCTTCCAGAGTTTCAGTACCATACTTAGTACACATTCCAAAGTATCTTTCCATTTTGTTCAGGAAACTGAAGGGAACTCTTATTTTTCTGTACTCTGTACATTCTTGTTAAGTCTTTATTTGCCAGATCTGTTGCAGAAGTTCAAAAACTTCTGGGGGATAGGAATACTTTTTGTCTCCTGGAATGAGCTAGAGAAGTTACAGGGTAACTTTATGGTTATTTGTTACTTCCTGGAAATTTTGGTATATTTTTAGCATAGTGGGGTTGTTGGGTTTTTGGGGGGGCTTGGGTTTTGTGTTTTGGAGGTCAGTTGGTTTTGTGTTTTGGTTTTTGGTTGGTTTTACGCCTGAGCCCTCTCAAGTTCAGAAATTTAGAATTCTGAACAATTACAACCAAAATTTCCGATGCTACTCTCCCATTCTCTGGCCCCACATGAATGTCCTTTTGCTGTTGTTGAGTTACATATTTCAAATACATTTGCAGGCACTGGCACAGGCAATCAAAGAAGCCAAAGAACAGCACCCTGACATGTCTGTCACAAGAGTGGTGGTGCACAAAGAAACTGAACTTGCTGAGGAAGATGAAGAGTAAAATCAAAAATGCCCTCAAGCAAATACGGCAGGTAGGCTTATATATATAATTAACATAGGAAAACGTAGTGTCAGTTTTTTGTTGTGTTCTGTAATAAAAGGCTTGAAAAATATGGGGCATCTTTGATATATGCTATCACAAAATGGTGAGTTGAAACAGGCGCTAATAGTAGACTGTTAGTGTAAGAATTTTTATCTTAAGTCCAATCTGACATTAATTTTAATTGCAAATTTTCCTGTATATGTCTCCCAGTTTTGTCACAGTACTCTCATGGCATTTCCTACGATGTTTGGTCAAGTTGTTGGAGTTTATATTGAAGTGAGTTTGGGCCCTTTCTGCAAAACATGAAGGAAGTGTCACATTTTTCTGTTTACCTGTACAATTACAGTCCTTGCCTTACATCTAGCTTGTTTAGTGGGAAGACTATGTTCAGTCCTCAGTAGTGAAAGGGCACGTTTGGACATTTTAATTTAGTCAGCTAATTCTTAATCCTAAGCACACTGAAATATTTAACCTTTTATCATTTTCCCAGGCAAGGAGGTAAATGCATTGCAAGCTCAAGTTTTAAAGGTTGAAAGAGGTATTTGAAGGAATGTCAGTTTATTAGGCCCTCATTTCTAGGAATAAAAAAAAGAAAAACAAAAAAACCCTCCTCTACTTGATGTGTTCAATAGAAAGATCAGAATGAACACTGAATAAACATGCTCTTACACTGGTTATCGGCAACTCCAGAAGAGCCTGGAAAAATCAACATCACTTTTGAGAGAACTATTAGTTTGTAGCAAGGAGAATACCTGTGGTTTAGGTAATTTCACTGGTCCCTTGGTACACGGCAACATTAAACATGCATGCTCAAACCATCCTTCTCGTATTTTCAGCGTTCACGTAGCAGTATCTAAGCTGGAAAGATACACTGAGACAGCAGAACAGATCATTTTGATTTGCAAGGATTTACTATTATAATGTATGCTACTATCACATTTTTCATTTATTATTAATCAGTGTGAATTTAAAGGTCTTGGGGGCAGGGATTGCCTCTTCGGTTACATCTGGGCAGAATGTTCCAGTTTCTTCATGCTACCTTAATCCAGAAAAGTATCTTTCAAGTCAGTGTTCAACATAATCTATCCCATATAAGTAGTTACATCTTTCTTGAAGGGAGTGTGTCATGGGAGCAAGAAGCAATCAGGCAGGTTTGCACCACATTTCTACATTAGCGACTAACTACAAAGTTGATTCTGTTCCTTCATCAAATACTTAACTGCTTTGTAAAAATTTTATTCAGAAAAAAACATTCAAGGAATTTCTTCCATCTGCTGAGGGTGTTTTTTTGCTTTTTTGAGAAATACATACATTGTGGAATGGTGTTTGCAGTGTATCAGAGCGTGTCAGATGTTCTTGTCTGAGTTTGCTGATTGCTTTACAGCTCTTAGTCTGAAATTCTTGTGAGAGAGTAAAAGAGGACCAATATGAAGACATTTCACCATGCTGCTCTTGGATTTGAGAGCTGGTGACTTGTTTGATGATGCCTTTCAGTTGAACATTAAGGAAGAAACTGAGTTGTCTAAACACAGGTCACCTGAAGTGCCTTGGATATCTGTCTGCAGCTTGGACCATCAAGAGACCTATGCCCTCCTGTACCAGCAAGTGAAGGGCAGGTGGGACTGCAGAAATGGCTCTAGACAGTTGTGTTTAGGCAATGGAGTCATGCCACGAATCTTGCTTGGTTGTTTCTAAGGTGATGAAAGCTCTGCCCTGATGGCTACGACAGTGTTGTTTGTGTAGACTTGTTTTCTCTAATAAAAGTGAGAGGTATTACACTCTGATTCCAAGGGATTATTAATTGAACAAATACCTTCATTGTTTTATTTATGCACTAGATTGTGCATTAAAATTTTCAGTAAACTCTGCAAGAGGTGGCTATTAAAGTACCATGAGAATTTTTGGGGATGGAAAAAATACACTAAAGCAAGAAAAACATTGATAGAAACTGAATTACTATTTACCTCAGGATTTAAGGCGGCTTTAGTTAACAGAATGTTTCTAATGAAATAACCTTCCCCCAAAATAACCTATATGGGAAAAATTACTTTTTTGACTCTGATGATGTGACATTCACATAGTATCCGTTATGAAGGCTTATGTCATCTCCCCCCTCCTTTTTCTTCCAGAAGTACAAATGATACTGACCGTGATCATGACCATGAAGAACTGTAATCATTCCAAGTCATCGCTGCTCTACCGAATTCACCAAGCCTCGCAATGATGACCAGATGTTCAAGACTTAAATGCCAATACCAAACTCCATTTTAACATCTTTGGTCTATATTCCCTTACAGTCTTTCTTGTTTATTTTTTATAACCACTTCTTAACAATCTTAAATTTTTTTAAATGAAGTTTTAGAGGGTATGATCTTCTTTTGCACAAATACTTGTATTTTTGAAGCTGATTCTTAATTATATGAAAGTGAACAAAAAAGAAGTCTGCAAAGCACTGTTCACTGGAGCAGGTGGTAATTGTGCAGGAAGAGGGATCTTAACTAATTTAGATACGTTTTTTTCCAAATATTTCAAATGAAATCTCTTACTGGAGTAATTTACAGATTTTTTTTTTCCAGATATTCAGGTAAATATATGGTATCACATAACAAAGATTTTTATAAAAATACAACATTTCCTAAAATTTGAAAAAATTTTATACTGATCTCTCTGTAACTCTTTCTGTTCTAAGGTTCTCCTCTCTGTGGAGCAGAGGTGGTGTGACAGTCTATAGAGGAGAAGGAGTTGCAGACATATTTCTTCTGACTGAGCACTGTGTTCTTTTTGCACTTTGGTGCCAATGCTCAACTTTTTGCAGACGTTTTGCTGTCTGCAGCATTCCAGATAAGGGAAGAAGGAAGAACAAAATATCTTTCTCTTCTTCCAACAAGAGATGATCTAGGCAGCTTAAAACCTTAGTGCTTTTTTTCTTACTGTGTCCAAACTTCAACACTTCCATTATTTGAATACATGTGTAGAATGCTCACTTTTTATTAAACCTCACTGTCTCCATGTTAGAACTGACATTTCTGTTATCGAGAAGGTATACGTTTCAGATGCTTCATCTAATGGTTAATGCAGGTTTTTAGGATACTGAGTAGAAGTGTACGATGGACTTAATTCATAAAGTAATAAGTACCATCATTTGAGACTGCCATTGAGAAAACCTGTTAATTATTTTGGATTTTATTTTTATTTTGTTCTTGCAGGGGGTTGTTATTTTGGGGGTTTTTTTGCTGTTGACTCTGTGTATAGTTAATATGCCAAATTAGATTTATAGCAGCTTGAAGTTGTATTAAGTGATATTTTGCTTTCTGTAATTCTGTTATAAAATAAAGTTGTTTATTCTCTGTATGACTTTTGGCACTCAGACATAAACTTGGAAGATGCTAAAGTGAGCAAGTCAGTTATGAGAACTGCAATTCTAGAGGCCACGGAACCTTGAAAAGCAGGGCTTAGTACAAGTAGTCTCCAGGGCTCCCAGAGGGGTGGCACAATTGTATGGCTCCTGATACTGATTTTAAAGTATCAGTGTTTTTTAGACATCTTCCAATAAGCATCCTGGTTTCTGTGGTTCAGAGAAGAAATCTTCAGATGCCAAAAAAGATGAGATTTGGACAGCACAGCGCAAGTTAAAATGCCCCGCAGCCTGCAAGCGGCTCTACTGACTTCGTGGAGTTAGGATGTATTATGACCTTCAAGTAACAAAACAAATCATAATACATCTCAGTACATTCTTTTTCGCTTCTGAGCAATGTGGTTTTGGTGCTATTCTCAGTTTAGATTGCTGCCATCTGTCAGTATGCTTGCTTAACAGAAATTCCTATTAGTTTTGGCTTCATACAGTTTGGATAACATAAGGCAACAGTAACCAAGATGTTGATTTATATATGCATATAGGTATTCTCAATTACATCCCACATTACCCTGAAAAACAGCAGATAACATTCTGCCCTGCTTTTCTTCAAAAGCAGAGACATTCTGCCTTTCAAAAAGGGGACGAGAACCCCACCCAGCCTAATAACCTGAGGACACTGCCACAACACGCTGCGTGAGCAGGGAGGTTGTCGAGGAAGTGGTGAGTTTGGGATATGTAAGTGGAGGTCAAAACGGAGATATATGCATTTAAGGGGATGTCTTAATGGGTTTTTCTTACAAAAGTGTGTAAGAAAAAGCTTTATAAAATCTTTGAGGTATTTTTGATGTAGTGTAGTATTAGTTGCAGAAATCATTTGGTGGGAGGAAAGCGTATTACTGAATTCCTTATTGATTTGGGTCTTTCTGATTTGTTAGACACTAGGTCAATATTGTTTTTTATTGCAGTTGTATTTAATCCTTAAAACTGCAAGTATAATATTCTTGAAAACAGTATTATTTTCACTGAGAGCTGTATTTCTTCAAACAGTAATCAGAACCTTTTGTCAGGGAAAAATCAATAGTGCTTTCAGGTCAGCATAGCTTGTGCATAGCTATCACTTCCGTTGATTAAACATGTACTAATTAAACAACCATTGTCATGCAGAAAAACTTAAGCCCCGAGTGTGATCAGTCCTAAAAATAGTCAAGTTTTACAGATTCTGGTTGTATGTAATTATTCAAATGTTCTGGAATATTGTGGAAGTCTGATGAGTTTTCATTGTTACTTTTTTTTTTATGTAACATATCTGTAGCAAAAACTGTAACATGCAACAAAAGAAATTGTTCTCAAGGCACTTCACAAGCTGGCTTTGTAATACATAGGCAATTTCAAATACAATTACAGGCCCATTTAATGAGAAGATATTTCAGTAATTAATTCTGCTTAAATACTGAGAAAAGTGAGTCATGTGGATCCTACACAAAAATACTTAATACGTCTTTCTTTTTAATCATGATCACCTAAGGGTTCACAATAAATGTTGGAAGTGTTCCACAGATTGTTTCCTAGATTAAGGTTTCATAAAGGACAAGCAAGCAACTCTGGTGACAGACTTTTTTTTTTTTTTTAAAAAAGATTTATTGCTCAAAGCGATGAGCAGCTACAATACAAAGTGTTTCTTGAAGTATTCTTCTATTTGACAACTCAAGCTGAATGGCAACTTTTAGTTTGTCCACAGAAGAAATCAACTAGATGGAATAAAATAAATGAAATACTATGACAGAGGTCAGAGTTTGTGAGATTCGATAGCAATCAGAATGACAGCTAACTGTACCCTTGGCCAGGATGCAGGGGGAGCTCCTCAGCTTTTGGGCACGTTAACTATGGAAGTGGGCTGCTTGGAGCAGCTCGTGCCCGCGCTGTTGAGCTTGACTGCACCCCTGGCAGGTGTGAAACGGTTCTGATTTTCAGGCTGCTCAGTCATGTGGGTTTTTTATACTGCACTTGAATAAAGATACTTGGGTTAGTAATATTAGTACAAATTACAAGCATTAGAAATGCTGCTAATACCTGTAGCATTACATTATTCTGTTTGGCATGAAGCAAATCCTGCAAGAGTTTTTGGAGGTAAGTATATACGAATGGCTGGACTGCGCCACGCTAAACGACTAGCGCTCCCAGATTCCTGTCTCTGAGGCTACTGGTGGTTGCCTAGGGGGGTGTGTAAGAATAGGTGCTGTACCAGAAAATAGTACGTTCCCAAATACTCTTCCAGCTTTCAACAATTTTCAGATTCTTCCTGGTCTATCAGTCTTCCATATTTATCTGCCTCTTTGGATTTTTGGCTAATTGCTTGTTAAAAAATTCCTCTGGCAGGCATTTTCACCATTCCGTGTGTCTTAAAAAAAAAAATCTTTTGAACCTGCCTCGGCTAGCTTCATTTGATAGCACCACTGCAGGTACTAGAAGAGACACCTCACGCTCATTCTCTCTGCGGTCGCTCCCCAGCCAAAAGCTATTCCACAATTCTTTATCATTCTTATCACCTTTCTCTGTGCCTTTCCTACTTAAATGTTGAGACTTCAAATTCTGTTCTGAAAAGCGAATAGAAAGCAATCACAGATAGGCAGGAAGGTTTTAAACGTGCTTACTGGCTGTAGATGGAGTGGAATCCTAGCTTTGCATGATTGCTAGTGAGAGGAGGACGGACGACTCCTCAGTGATAGCAATAATTGAAGACAAATTATTTCCTTGCAATCACTGTTTTCATATATGTTTAGAGAATGCTTTTATAATTTATCTAGACAGAGGCTTAGTTCTATGGTGTTATTTAAATACATGCTATTCCTTTTCAAAGGAATTATGTAAGTACCGTGATGCATTTCATGCCAGTAGCGTGAAAACAGAGATCTTTCTTGACACTGTTCAGTAACGGAACTGAAAACAGCAAGGCCTGAGGATTTTCACGACATGTTACTGAGCCTTGACTGTCAGATCCTTCTACGCGTTAGAAATTACAGCTCAGTAAGCAGTTGTGTCAAAGGCATCCAGTGTCTTTCTGTTATAATTCTTACCTAATATCTATATAGCGTTCTTTTCAGTATCCGTACCACCATTTTACAGTAACATGCTGTTGAAGTGTGATCTCACTTTTCAACATTTTAAATCTCTGTCATCAGTCATTTTGTGAAATCAACAAAATCAATTTTGTGTTGTGGGAAGGCTTGCTAAACTTCAATTCTGTATCTTTACATTTGGTCCAGGCCAATCTTTTCTTTAGTGGTGGCAGAATGGGTGTTTGGAATTGGGGGGGGGTGGGGAGGGGGGTGTTACAGCTCCTTTAACCTCCGATCAGTATCCAAGATCGCTGCTTTTCTATTGGCAGCATCTTTCTTAAATGTAAAAAGTCAATCCTTTGCAGCAGCTGTCTCAACTTCCCTGCAAAATATTGTGTAGAATGTAGTTAATAAAAGAAGAGAAAATATACTACGGAGAGTAGTTAAAGGTTTTCTTGAAAGATATCAATATCACAGAAGTTTACGTACTCAGGTAAACAACAGTTTCACTGGCGGGGCTGAAGAGTGGACTCTCTTTCACTTCAAAGCTGCTGGTCTACTTAGAAAGCAAAAATGTGTTATCTAAGGATAATGTAGGAAAACGGGAATGGTTCCATGGAACAGGGTACGGAATCAGTTGGCAGTGTCCCCTGCACCATGCAAGGATCTATACCAGCTGCTTCTGAGGAAATTGTCGGTCACTGAAATACCAAATGATGAAACAACATACCTCTGGAGAGGTACAGCGCGGAGGCATGGCAGGAGGCCAGCAGGTCAGGCTCATGGATTATGTACCACGGTTTTTCTACGTGAGACAGCTGTAAGCAGAGGTGGATCATTAGAATCAAACTTTCAGATCTCTCTCCTTAGACACCATGTTATACCTGGCTTTAACTTTTGGATCTCTACTATCTGCGGTGTATTTGACCTTTAATGTTACAGCCTACAGGAACATTGACACTGAAGAAACCATTACCTGTGTAACCAGGAGAACAGATCTTTTTATCTCTGTTAATAATACCTGTATGAGTTAAGACCACTTTTCTTAAAAATCTTTATGTATTACATCTTGGGCTCTCAATCTCTGTGTTGCAAAAGTATTCATTAATACACTTCTGACACTGCGTAATAACTGTCTCTTGTTATTTTTTTAGTGAACTTTAAATACTTTACCTAATGACATAGATCTAAGCTTAGAAGCATTAAAAATGAAACAAAGCATCACATTGCTTTCCATCATCACTGCTTTCATGGGATCATGATGGATCTTTCACCGAGAGCAGCATTATTTTGTTTGCTTAGTGCCAGCACTTAAAGTATAAGAGCGGAGTTCACTAGAGGTGTGAGTAGGCCAATATTAAGACCTTTTGAGACTCTGCCTTTACAGTCAAGTCTGAATATACTAGGTATAAAGTATGCACTGCTTTGGACTGTATTGCTCTAGGCCTGCCAGGCAACGTGAAAGTCCAGGTACGAGAGGAGGTCGGGGAGCAGGTGCTCCCCAGTGTCCCGAGTAGCTGTGAACGTGAGGTCCCCTCAATAGCTGGGTGATAGGGAGCTACTGGGATTTCCCATCCGAGACCTGCCTTTGGAGTGCTTCTTTCCTTCTGCTCTTTGAAACCCATCATGTTTGTTGCTAGCCAAATGAAATTTCTGGTGTGAAGTTTAAGAACCGAAGGACTCCACGCTTTGGTCTTACTGGGAAGAGCAAGTTTATACAAGAAACGAAGAAAAGCGTCTTCAGCCTTTTGATTGCAAAATATTCGGAAAGCACTTCTGGCATGATCGCAGGTGAAGCATCTTGAAACACACAGAGAACCTGTTAATGGGCATCTGGAGTGAATTGCCAGCGGGAGGTGGGGAGCCCTGCAACTGAACTGCAGATTCCTCTGCCAGCTGGCTGAGATAAACTTTTGGGTTTACTGTCTCTGCTCTTCCAGGTTTTGCTGTGGTTCTCTGACAGCGTTGCTTCCTTTGAAGTCAAAGTCCGTATGTCTATCTTGTATATAACTTTTGCTGTTCATGTTAATGCTGTGACTTCTGAATCAGTGCCTGGCTTTTTCCACCCAGCACCTTCTGCTGATTTCAAATGGAACTACAAAGTGCTTTTCACTTTTGAACATAGGTAATTCTTTTGGGAGCCTAAATAGAGGTAGTCTATTAGAGGTCTTGCATTTAAGCATCCTAAGATTTACTTTTACTACACAAAAGGTAGCTCTTCCCAAGTAAAAACCAATTAGCTTGTCACCTCTTCAATGCAATGTATTCTATGTTATTTGCATAGATGTAAACCAGTGTGATGAATTATATATTTTTAAAAATAGGATAGCATTAACATGTGATAGAGGACTGTTACATGTAGTAAAGGTACTCACTGTTTGACTCCTGTTTTCTTCTCATAGACTTCGATAAATTACAGTGTTTCTTAAACCTGTGGTCATGGCCTCATTAGTGTTTTTATAAAATGATTCAAAGGAGTTCTTAAAAGTCTATGAGAACCGAAATTGTGCAGAACCATACATAATCTCAGACAGGGCATTATCCACTCTGTTCTTGCAGGCTAGGTAATGACAAACAGCTGTAATGAAAGGTAATTGCAGATGGCAATTGCTAGCAGATAGGGACAGTAAATATCAGGGACAGTAATGGTAGTTACTTCTCATTCTTCATCAGTTTGGGTTTAAACTTGAGAGTCAGAAACAGAGAAGCCAAAAGTGCTTTCAAACAGTTTGAGATGCGTTTCTGTGGACCATCTGCCACAGCCAGAGATGCACTAAAAATTGTACATCTACAGCTAATGGGGGGGGGAAGATTTTTTTATGTGTGACAAATGACATGCAGAAAAGAAAACTCCATACTTACGGGGTTTTTAATTTGAAAAATCATCCATTTGTCCTTAAACTAGAATAATAACTGGTTTACAGAATACTGACGGAATCTTTTCATGGTTTCAAAATTTGGCATGGTCAGTCAGCAGAGAGAAGTCCTTTTGTTTCCCATCACTGTTACATTTTGCTTCCAAATTCTATGGAAAACATACTTACAAAACCTACAACCTTTCACAAAGCGTATAAGCTAATAAATAAAGTCAGTTCCCCTTCATCACCCTTCTCAATTTCCTAGATGTCAGTGCTTGATATGAACTTGCTATTTATGCATCTCCAATTTAAAAAGACTGCCTTCCTTGCATACGCCAGCTCAGCTCTCTCGGGAGCTTGTTATATAGCTTTCTTCTCAGTAGGTTAGGGAAGGGCTAGTGAGCAAGGTGCTTTCCCTCCCCCCAGATCCTGTGTCATGCAAGGGAACTGGCACGGTACGTTGTAGGAGATCTCTGGTGTCCGATGAGTTGCACGAGTGCTGCTTACTTGGCCTCCTGTGAGGAAGCAAAACTGTTACCAAACCCTTTTGAATGGCAGCAGCTGTTTCATTTGTACGGCACAGCACTAATTTCTTCCCTCTGTTTTGTTTTCCTCCGTGGTATTTATCTACAGCCGGTTATTTTTAAACCTGCAGAGCTGAGTACTGGGTTTAAGCTTGCTTCTTGAGGCGTGAGACTCCCTTAAATGTCCTTCAGTTCTTGCATTTTTTCTCTTTTTGTCCAGATCTCCTTGGTTTCTGCCACTGGCCATGGTAATTCAGGAGAACCTTTTGGGGGTCTTGTGCCATGGCCAGTTCCCCATCAACTGAAAAATAAACCAAACAACACAAAATTCCGTAAGAATGGGCTAATTTCCGATGGTGAATTTTTATAAAGAAAAGGAGCCGGCATGTATTAGTAAGAACTAATCTTATTAAATTGAAGATACCTAAGTAGCACGTTAGTATCAGTTCGTCCATGCTCCTAGAACAAAGTCTTCTGAGTGTGAGATTGGGACTGTGCCTATGCCCAGTGAAGCACTGACACAAACTTTATTGACATCAACAGAAATACTCTGTTCTTATTTGCCTCCACCAGCTTTCAATCAGAATAAAATCCTTAAACAACAGCAAGGAGAGCAGTTAGCTTGTACTGGCAATTCGCCTTCTGCTTTACTGTGGCAGTGCCATGAGAGCCTCAATTTGGCCTGATCCTCCCGATGCCACCTGTGGTACAAAGAGAACAGAAAAATTATCTCTGCCCCCGTAACCTGGCATCCTCAGAACAGGACGGCATCGTCAGAGGCTTGGAGAATATTTGGAGAGCAATGGAGAAACAGAGAAAAGGGAAAAAAAAAAAAAAAAAAAAAAAAAAAAAAAAAAAATGAAAAAAAAAGCCCAGTTAGCA